AGCCCCTGGCCCTCCAGCACGCTGGGCCGCGGCGGGAACCCCACCGTGCCGCGATGCAGCGTGAGGTCGCCGCCCACGGAGGCGGCCGCGGTCCCCTGCAGCTTCGGACCGCGCGGCTCAGACGGCGGCGGCGACGGCGACGACTGCGAGGACGAGGGCGAGGAAAGCAACGGCCAGGACGCCGAGGATGAGGACGATGAAGACGACGCGGGCGGACGACGAGGACGGACGACGAGGAGGGACGACGAGGATGGACGGGGATGGACGAGGACGGTCGAAGGGGGGGAGGAGGGGAGGAGGGAAAGGAGGGGGGCGAGGGGAGGACGGGAAGGACGAGGACGACAAGGGTGGATGGCGGAGGGGCGTGGTAGGAGGGGGAGGAGGTCGAGGGGTGTGGGGGGGGAGGGGAGAAGTGGGACGGGAGGGGGGGAGGGGAGGCGCGGAGGAGGGGAAGGGGAGGGACGATGGGTCAGACTCGTCCCGCTGTCGCCCTCCGCCCCGGCCCCCAGAGAAGCGGGCGTCACCGCCGCTCGGCGGCGTTTGGCCAGGAGCGGGCCCCCCACCCGCCCCTGAGCTTGCTCCTAACTCTAAGTCGGGCATGTCCCTCTACAGGTGGAATACTCCAACATAGCCGAAACATAGGCGGGGGACGATTTTTCGATTTTTGTTCCAACTCTTTTGGGGTATCTTTTGGGTACTCCCTATTCTTCGTCCAAAACCCGCCTGTAGGGGGATGGGCCCGATCTGATGCTAACTCCTCGTCCTCCTCGTCCGCGCCTTCCCCTCCCGCTGCGGTCGGGGCTCGGACGTGGGGGGAGCAGTCCGGCTTCGGGTGGGGGCCTCGCGGCTCCCCGTGGTCCTTTCGCGCCGGTTTTCGCCAACCCTCCTCGTGCACTCGGGCGCCCGTGGGGCCGCGCAAACGGGGCGTCGCTCCCTGTTCCGGGCTCTCTCTCCTAGAAGTGGCTCGACTGCACTCCTCGCGCCTCGCGCGGGAGGCGCAGCCGATGACGCGGTGGCTCTTTCTCGCCCTGCCGCCGCCGCTGCTGCTGCCCCCCCTTGTTCTCCCGGCGAGGCGGGGACCAGGGCCGGGGCGACGAGGGCGCGTGCTGGTTCTGGAGCCTGGGCAAGTGCACCAAGGGCAGGAAGTGCAAGTTCGCGCACATGGAGTGGGGATGAGGGATGAGGGATGAGGGAGGGAGGGATGAGGGAGGGAGGGAGGGAGGGAGGAGAGAGGCAGGGCGGCGGGAGGGATGAGGGATGAGGGAGGGAGGGAGGGAGGGATGAGGGAGGGAGGGAGGGAGGAGAGGCAGGGCGGCGGGAGCGAAGGGTGGTGGTGGTGGCCACTGCGCAAGGGAGCCCCGCGTCCCGAGCAGAGCAGCGCGCACCGCGACCACGGCGGCGCCGGCAACGACGACGAGGACGAGGCGCGCAGACGATCCGCTCCGAAGCACGGATTCGGGAAAGGGCCCATCTTGCAGGTTCCATTAAACAGCACATCGTTGAGCGGTGCTGCAGGAGGGGGAGGAGGAGGAGGAGGAGGAGGAGGAGGAGGAGGAGGAGGAGGAGGAGGAGGAGGAGGAGGAGGAGGAGGAGGAGGCGAGGCGGAGGCGGAGGCGGAGGAGGCGGAGGAGGAGGAGGAGGAGGAGGAGGAGGAGGAGGAGGAGGAGGAGGAGGAGGAGGAGGAGGGGACAAGCTAGGTGCGCTCGCGTCAGATCTGACGTCCTACCCCTCCTCCGCGAAGATCTCCGCTCTATTCACACAGTTGGATGTCGTAGCAGGGCGTAGCGTTACAGGCCATAGCATGGTGTTGAAGATCAGCGCGTAGCCTGACATAGCATGGCGTGGCGACGCCCCAAAGAGTGGGGGGCCTTCTGCGGCCCCAAACATCAGCGAATCGACACCGAATGTATAATCCCTTCCGATGGTTGTTTCGGGGGGCCATTTTCTAGATTTTGGGGCCTGCTTGGAAGGACCGAAAACCATGCCGTGGTATGGCGCTGGAAATAATGGCGCCAGCGCTGCAGCGGGAGCACGAGTCGGAACGAGCGGAAGCGCGGCAATGAGGCCAGCGCTGCAGCGGGAGCACGATTCGGAACGAGCTGTAGCCCGAAAATGAGGCCAGTGCTTCAGTGCGGAGGGGTGCCCAACAATCCCCGTACATCACCAGAGGAGAGAGGAGAGTAGTACTCATTGTGTAATTGTAGAGGCGGAGTAGGAGGATGAGGAGGAGTATGAGGAGGAGGCCGAGGAGGAGTATGAGGAGGAGAATGAGGAGGAAGAGAAGGGGGAAGAGGAGGAGGGGGAGGAGGATAATCAGATCGTTGCCTGTCTAGCTAGCACCTGGAGGTTACAACTTAAGGGCAGTGTGAAGCTAAGTTGCGGAAGCGAGCGCGCGAGGCGTAAGAGTCGCGAGGTTTTGGTACGTGCGCCGAGGGCTGGGGCTCTGGCCCATTTGCCTTTTCGGTTGTACGAGATCCAGGCTCTGCGGCTTAGAATGCTGCCAACCAACATTTGTATATGATGAGTAAAAGGCAGCAGCTGCCCTGGGCGCACCTCTGGGTGCAGCTTGCAAGCTAACGCAAGCTTGCAAGCTAACGCAGGCCGCAATATCGCGCTAGTGCCACACGCTGCGAGACGTGAGGTGCACGTGCCAGGCCCGCCCGTAGTGATAGGGGTACGTTCAGGAGAAGGCATCAGAGCACTGAAGGTAGGCTGCTGCGGACGCAGGCAGGGCAGCTGACGTAGCAAGCGAGGCTCGCAAACGGAGGCGCGCAGGATGAAGGGACGAGCAGGGGCAGGAGAGGGAAGACCAGCCGTAGTTTTTTATATACTAGCAAGTGGCAAGGCGAACGTTGGCTCCAACATCGAAGAACGCAGCTGAACAGCTAAAGCGTTTATGCCGGGCACACGGGTACGAGACTGGCAGTCCGTCGTCCACGACAGTAGTGGCATGAAGCTCGGTCTGCTTCAGAGCCCGTGCTGCCTGGCTTGCATGCCGTTCTTTATCTTCCGTGAGCCTCTGCCCCCCATTGTCTCCTTCGCACGGGCGTAACGTGTTTCAGTAATTCGGCTATGTTAGCGAGCAGTGCGCTGTTTTGACGCTCTTCACGTTGTGCGCGCGCGTGTGTGTGTGTGTGTGTGTGTGTGTGTGTATGTGTGTGTGTGTTTTGCGCATCGTTGCCTGCGTTGTCATCCCGCCTTCTGATTATGTTTGCCTGCGGGGTCAGGAGGAGGAGGAGGAGGAGGAGGAGGAGGAGGAGGAGGAGGAGGAGGAGGAGGACAGCACAGCGGGGGGAGCGGGGGCGCGCGCCTGCGCCGGTGGGAGCGGGTGCCAGGGTGCCGCAGTGGCCCCGCCCGGGTGCCCTGGCCCGAAGAAGACTGCGAACCCTCGCGCCGTGGCGAGCTCGCGGCTGTCCCGCGGGAGGCGGGCCGCCGCCGGGCGCCCCGCCGCCGTCCCTGCCCTCCCGCCCGCTGTTGCTCTGGGCCTCCCAGAGGGGTGCGAGCACGTGGGGCCGATCCACCCCGGCGGCGCCGAAGCGTCGCCGACGCATCGACGACGCATCGACGACGCAGCGGCGGCGCAGCGGCGATTCATCGGCGAGGCGGCGCGACCATTCGACCCATCAGCTCGGACCCCACGTGCTGAATAGGGGATCGGCTGCAGAATTGGTCCAGTGCAAAATTGAGGTCCCCGCCGAATCCACAGGAAACACGTGGAATGTTCGTGGATATACGGGGCGTCATGGGCATTTTTCGTAGATTCGGCGGGGAAATCAAGTTGAGGGTAAATCAAGTCTGTAATCGATCCACAAATCGAACGTGGGAGGGCCCTAGTCTCGGAGTGGCATGTTGGTAGGTCTACGGGGCAATCTCCGCGTTTCCCACAGACTCGGCCGAAAAACCAAGTTTGGGTGAATACATCAATTCGGTAGTCGATCCCCTGCTCGAGCGACGCATCGCCGATGCATCGGCGATGCGGCGCGATCATCCGACCCATCTGCTTGGACCCCACGTGGGGGGCTCCAGTCTCGGAGGATGGTCCGTCGGGGCCATGGCGGCCCGCGTGTGCCCGCTCTCTCTTGCGGGGCCTCCCCCGGGGGGGGGGGCGTGCCTCGCCACGGCCAGAACGGCTCCGAGAAGCGGGCCGGCACGGACCGCGGGAGGGGCCCGGGGGGCCGATGAGGAGGAGGAGGATGAGGAGGAGGAGGAGGAGGAGGATGAGGCGGAGGAGGAGGAGGAGGAGGAGGAGGAGGAGGAGGAGGAGGAGGCGGAGGAGGCGGAGGAGGAGGAGGAGGAGGAGGAGGAGGAGGAGGAGGAGGAGGAGGGGAGGAGGAGGAGGAGGAGGAGGCGGAGGAGGCGGAGGCGGAGGCGGAGGCGGAGGCGGAGGCGGAGGAGGAGGGGAGGAGGAGGAGGAGCAGGAGGAGGCGGTGGAGGAGGAGGAGGAGGAGGAGGAGGAGGAGGAGGAGGAGGCGGAGGCGGAGGCGGAGGCGGAGGCGGAGGCGGAGGCGGAGGAGGAGGAGGAGGAGGAGGAGGAGGAGGAGGAGGAGGAGGAGGAGGAGGAGGAGCAGGAGGAGGAGGAGGAGGAGGAGGAGGAGGGAGGAAGGGAGGGAGGGAGGGAGGGAGGGAGGGAAGGAGGGGCTATGCTTCCCTCGGTTTCCCCCTGTCTGGGCCTCCTTGGGCCCCGAGATCCGACGCCCAGGAACGTGCGGTTTCGCTGTCCGGGGCCTGTCGTTGCTCCATCAGAGACGCGCCGCCGAATCGAGGTCATTTGCCTCCCCCCGTAGTCGCCACCTGTCGATCTCCCTCTGCCGCCCCCCCTCCTGCCTGTCGGAGGCTGCAAGGGGTGGTCTCGTGCTCCAGTGTGCCCCCGGCCTTCCTCGCCGTTTGCGGCTGCGGGGGCCTCCTGGGGCCCCTGGTCCGCTGGAGCGGTGCCCTGGATGCCGCCCGCGGGCCACTTCGGGCCATGGCCACCCCTGACCATACCCGATCCTGCCCATCCCTCGTCCCCTCCTCCGAGGCGGGAATTTATACATGACCACCGCCTGGAGGATCAAGTCTTGGATACCTCGGCAAGCGGTGGACATGGATATGTTCTGGCCCCCGGGGGCCCAAATATATCCATATTCACCGCCCGCTGGGGCACCAGGACCTCGGTTCCCAGGCGGTGGACATGGATAAATCCCCGCCCGTCCCCTCCGCCGTGCTTCCCGACAACGGGCTCCTCCTCGCCGCGCGACTGGGCGTGCCGGTGGGGCGGGCCTGAGGCTTTCCTCGCCTCAGGCCTCGGGGCGAATCAGCTTCCAAGATGTGGCTCTCGCCTTCTGGCGCCGCGCACACTCATCTGAACTAACATGTCTCAGCAGCTTCGTGGGTGGATGTCTGTGCTTTTTCAATGTGTCTCTCGTCTTACAGCGCCGCGCACAGTCGTCTCTACATGCCTCACTTCATGATGCATTCACGGATGGATGGTTGTCCGTTTTGAAAATGTTGGTATCGCCGTAGTTCCGAACACATTCGTCTGAAACACATCGACATGCCATAAGGATGGAATGCAAGTAGTTTTCGAAGTAGGTTTTCGTTGTAGCGCAGAGCACACTCGTGGTGGGAGTGGTCTTCCTTTTAATATTGGTCTCTGTTTGAGGTTTCACCCGGCCTTCTAGCCAGGCGCTGAAGTCTAGGCTTGCGCAGCAACCGCACGCGTGCAGCGCGCATCCGCACGTGTCGTGGCCATCAGTGTACGACCGTGTGCAGAAGGGTCGGCGAAGGCATGGGCGCCACCATAAGTTGGAAGGGGAGGAGGAGGAGGAGGAGGAGGAGGAGGAGGAGGAGGAGGAGGAGCAGGAGCAGGAGCAGGAGGAGGAGGACCCCCTCCCCCTCCAGCTTATGGTGGTGGTGGTGGTGGAAGACAGGCCCATCGCTTGACTGAGCTCTGAGAGTCACGAGGACTCGCTCTGGCGCTCCTCGGGGGCAGGGGGCCGGAGAGCCACGCCTCTCCAGACCGGGGGGGTCCCTCGCCCGAGAGCGGGGCGCTCGTCCTTCACGGGGGGGGCGCTTGCCGTCGGTATCGTTTATCCGATCCCCGTGCCCGTTCTCCATCGCCTTCGAGGCCCCCACCAAAATACTACCCCGGTTGGGGATTACACCCCCAGAAGCCCGAAGAGAGCGACCTACAGCCCCATTTAGGTGGGTAAATCGGCCAGCGGGGCCCAGGCCACGCCGCCGGGGATGGGGATAGGTTAAACGATACTCATACCGCAGTGAGCAGCTGTGCCTGCAGGGAGTTGAGGTAGGTTCGCGTCGTGTCGACCAGCGGCGATTTTGCCGCCTGCGTTCAAGGCTGAACGCCGCCGACGACGCACAAACGGTCGATGTTGAACGATCTGACGTTTCGGAACTGGCCGATCGTTCAAGGTGGAACGATCCCCGCGGCGCCCGCGGCGTCAGAGACCAACGCCGAAATCGGCAACACACGAACCTGCCGTATGGAGGGTAGGACCGGGGACGGGCGGGAAATTGTGCCGCTTTTGTTTGGGCAATCTACGTACTGGTGATGTATACAAACGTGGCATTCGGACGCCAAAGGGTTGATGCTGTCGTGTTGTAAGCCACTCATCCTCCCCAAAGGATGTAGCCTCAGCCATAGGAATTGTGCCGCTTGTGTTGGGGCAGTCTAAGTATTGATACCACGTAAGAAATTAACGTGGCGTCTCGACGCCAAAGGTGAGAGGCTGGCGTGAGGTCGTCCTGTCTTCTGTATGTCCGTGTTGGGGGAGGGTATGACGAGGAGAGAGTCTAATAAGCTGCCGCAATAGGCAGGCATCAAGTCAATTAAAATGCTGTGTGTGTGTGTGTGTCTGTGTGTCCGTTCTTGGGTTGCGGCCCAGGTTTTCTGGGGTTTACCCCAAACCACTTCGCTCCCAGGACCCTCGTGTTTTTTCCCTACCTAGGCTCTGCCTAGAAGGGTTCTTCCCGTGTGTGCTTAAAGGGCCGGGTAGTGCAAATCGCCCCGGGCGGTTCCCCCAGTATCCGCCCCGCGGTTCCCCCAGTTATGCCCCCTTAGCTTAGCGTTGCTTATCTCATCTTAGCTTAGCCTAGTTTAACTTGGCTTAGCTTAGCTTAGCCTAGCCTAGGTTAGGTTAGGTTAGCTTAGCTTAGCTTAGCTTAGCCTAGCCTAGCCTAGCTTAGCTTAGCTTAGATTAGCTTAGCCCAGCTTAGCTTAGCTTAGCGCAGCGCAGCATTAGCATAGCATATCATAGCATTTCATACCATATCATAGCATATAATAACATCTCATATCATAGCATAACATCTCATATCATAGCATATCATAGCATATCGCAGCATAGCATATCATAACATATCATATCTTAGCTTAGCCTAGCCTAGCTTAGCTCAGCCTAGATCAGCTTAGCTTAGCTTAGCGCATCATTCGCATAGCATAGCATTTCATACTATACCATACCGTACCATAGCATAGCACATCATAGCGCAGCATAGCATAGCGCAGCATATCTTAGCATAGCATATCATAGGTGTAGGTGTATATGTGGATGTGGGTGTAGGTGTCGGTGTATATGTATATGTAGATGTAGGTGTAGATGTAGGTGTAGATGTAGATGTGAGTCTCGCTGTTGATGTTCATGCAGATGCAGATGCAGGTGTAGATGTTAATGTAGCTGTCGGTGTCGATGTAGCTGTTGCTTTCCTAGATGCTCCAACTCCTAGGTAGGGTCGCACTGGGATAATTATTGTGTTCCTTTCGGGTTTAGCACGAATCCTTGTTGTCCAAGATACCTGTACACGAGACGAGTGCCCTCGCTGGGTTCTTGGGTTGCTGCCCAGGGTTTTACTGGTGAGCCCCAAACTATCTTGTCATCCCCAGCCCAGCCCCGATGACCGTCCCCACCAATCCCAGTCCATTATGACCGTACGTGGTTGGCTGCAATGTGAGAAACACAAACGCCTTGGGATGAGATGCGCATTTCGATCTGCACAAGCAGTCATAACCTGTGTAGATACAGGCTTGCGGTGTGCAGCCTGCAGAAAACAAATGCAAGGCGCATGCTAGATTTGTGGGTGACTGAGGCTTGCAGCATGTCGTAGGCTGGTGGCCTGCCAGGCTAGCCTGTGAGATTCGACGTGCACGTGAGGGTACGCGATTCTGACGTTCGAACTGCACAAACCGTTCTAACCTGTGTAGATACAGGCTTGCAGTGTGCAGTCAGTATCAATAAAAACTAAGGCGCGTACTAGCTTTGTGAGTGCCTGAGGTTTGCAGCAAGCATTCGGCTAGCCTGTCAGGCTGGCCTGTTGGGTCCGACATCGTACGCGAGGAGCGACTGTGAGAGCTTCTCGTGATGCGCACGAACAAATCATAGCCTGTCTAGGTACAGGCTTGCCAACATGTAGGCGCATGCTTGATATGTGAAAAGCTGGGCCTGCAGAGACAAAAAGCGGGTATCGTGGTCTAGCAATCTTTGGGCTGCGACCCAGAGTTTTTATTGCTGGTACACCCCAAGCCGACGAACACGGGGAGGGAGGGACCACCAGCGTGTCCAGAGAGCGGGAGGGTGCGAGCAGCAACGGTGCAACGCAGGACAGAGAAGGGAGACGGGCAGCGGCCACGATGGGTGTGAGCTATCTGGTCTGAGTGCGGTACCAGAAAGTTATCATGAACAAAACGGTCTCACTAGATGTTGCGCTGCGGTAGTTGAAGAGCTGCAGGCACGTGTGGTGGAAGTCGTGGTGTGCTGCTGTCGCGGTGTGCTTAGAACCCGCCGCGTGGCCAGGCTCTTCGAGGCCCATCGGCGCTGTTGCTTTTGGTGGCGCCCTGTATTGTCGTGCTATCTGCTGGGGCGGCGGCTCCTTGTGCGGTACCCCCACTGGGGGGGTGTCGCGTAGGCTGTTGGGGAGGTGCTCGCAGCGCGTCTGGGGCGAGCGGAGCCTGTCGAGGTGGCTGCAGAGCGTTGGGTCTCCCGTGTTGTCTGCGGAGATGGTGCGGCGGTTGCAGACGAGTATGTGTGTGCTGGTCGCCTCCTCCTCCTCGTCCTCCTTCCTCTCCTCCCTCCTCGTCCTCCTCCTCCTCCTCCTCCTCGTCCTCCTCCTCGTCCCCCTTCCTCCTCCTCCTCGTCCTCGTCCTCCTCCTCCTCCTCCTCCTCCTCCTCCTCCTCGTCCTCCTTCCCTGCCCCTCTCCTGCCCCTTCTTCCTCCTCTGCGTCGCCGCTGGCGTCGTCACCGCCGCAGGGAGCGGCACGCTGGCAGCAGCCGGCCCTGCTTGCTGACCGTGGGGGGCAGGCTCGGCCACCTGAGCGAGGCCAGCGGGGGCCGCCGCTCACCCCCCGCCCTCTCCTCCTCCTCCTCCTCCTCGTCCTCCTCCCTCCTCCCCCCCCTCCTCCTCATCCTCCTCCTCCCTCCTCCTCCTCCTCCTCCTCTCCCTCCTCCTCCTCCTCCTCCTCTCCTCCTCCTCCTCCTCCTCCTCCTCCTAGGCTCTGACACGAGTCGATATTCGAAGAACAGAGTACGCCACAATCAAGGGCAACGATGGGGGGGATACGCATAGGGGGGGGCATCGATCCCCAATAGCCCATGAATCGCTGATAGGGGCCCGATAGCCCCATCCCGCCCCAGAAGGTGCGGATTCGCTCTCAGGAGCCTATCGCCGATCTGTCGACGATGTATCGCCGATTCCAGGTCGATGCATCCCCCCTTTGCCAGTCCCCACCATATCGTTGCCCCTCACATAAGCATAAACTTTTGGTGCTCCGCGCGAATATCTTGGATCCGTGCTGGGCCCCCAACGGCGGCGCCTCCGGCGCCGCGCTCCGCGCGCCAGGGATGGGGGCCCAGCGCAGATCCAAGGAATCCGCGCGGACCGTCGACAGTTTATGTTAATGCTGTTTCTTTGTGTAGTCCCTCGCCCTTCCGAGAGGCTCTGGCGCATGGACCCATGGCTGAATGTTTTGGGCTGCGCGGCCTACCGCCACGAACGTGGACGGAAGTCCCCGAGCCCGCGACGAGGAGAGACCCGCCTGGAATACAGCACAGGCATCAGGGAACTGACCCAGGGATTCTCCGGTGCAGGCAGCGCGACACATCAAATGGAGATTTTCGGTGGTGCGAGCGGGGAGACAGACACGGGCATCGGCAAGTTCACCCGTGTCGGTGCTGCCGCTGTCTGTGTGGCCGGTGTCCTGCCCATCTTGTTTTCTTACACATGTGACAGACTTCTGTGCATGTTTCTGCAGGATGGTGTGCCCAACAATACCTCAATCCTGCAGGAGAGGGTGCTGACACATGGAAGCTGATTGGAGATTTGATGATGCACACCACACGGCCACGGACGTGGCCGAACGACGCGCCAACCGCTTCATGGTGATTGGCAACCTCCTGGCCGACGAGTTCGCGGGCTTCGCGCGGCTGCTAAAGCACTGCTAAAGCAAGGCTGCCCGCCGCTGTCCCGCCACCATGTGCTGTTATCCAGGAGGCTGACCGAGGGGAAAAAGGATGTGACTCGAGGCCCCCGATGCTCCTGTGAGACCCCTTCTCGTCCTCGCCATCCGCTTGCTGCCGCCGTTGTCTCTGCCCTTCTGTCTCGGCACCGCCTGTCCGAGTGCGGTCGTAGGTGCATCACATGCTTTGGCTCTGCTACCCTCGCCGCCTTGAAACAAATTGTGGACTCTGGCTGTCCCAGGTTATACAATATTGACGGATTTATCTTTTCGCCCCGGTGAAAGGGGCGGGAATCCATATCGCCGGGGGTTGGGTCCACACTACGCACACCCTGAATGTTCGTTCGACACTCCAGATTTGGTTTTGCATTGAGTGTGGGGCCATCACCGATAAGGCACTGCTGGCCCTCACAGGCCCTTGTTCGAACAGGGAGTTTGTTACGGGTAGAGCGTACCTCGACCGGATTGCCAGGGGGTTGAACCCCGAAGTCTTGAGCCGAGCTGAGATTGACTCGGCGATCGAATGCTCTCCCGTCCAGGTGTTCCTAGATTCTCGAACCTGCATCGCAGCGGTGTCCACTCCACTCCACTCCACTCCACTCCACTCCACTCCACTCCACTCCACTCCACTCCACTCCACTCCACTCCACTCCACTCCACTCCACTCCACTCCACTCCACTCCACTCCACTCCACTCCACTCCACTCCACTCCACTCCACTCCACTCCACTCCACTCCACTCTTCCTCCTCCTCCTTCTCCTCCTCCCCCCTCCTTTCTTCCTCCCTCTCTCTTTCTCCTCCTTTCGTCCTCCTCCCTCCTCCTCCTCCTCCTCCTCCTCCTCCTCTAATCTTCCTTCCTCCGCCCTCCCTCCTTCCGTGCGGCAGCAGCTGCTCCGTATGATGCCGAGGCCGCGTGGATCAAGCTGCCTCGCATGATTTGTTGGCGCCACGGCGCCACCGCCGCGCTTTTCCGCGGGCCGTCCTCCTGGGTGATTGCCGGCGCTTGCCTTGTCTTGTCTTGCTCTTCCTGTGCGGGCAACTCGTCGGCGTGAACGACCTTGCACACATAACGCACGCAAGGCGGCCAGAGGTCCAGAGGTTCGACAGCCCATTGGACGACCCATCCCCCTCCTCCTATTCCTCCTCCTTCTCCTCTTCCTCCTCCTATCAACCAATTTTTCACGTATTGCCTATTCTCTCTTTCCTTGGCCCTGCACATCCTCGTCGCCCACCTGTCCTGATTCGCGCTGTCTACAGTGGGGATCTGCTCGTCTCAGGGCCTACCTTCTCGGTGCTCCTTCTTTCCTCCTCCTCCTCCTCCTCCTCCTTTCCACCTCCTTGATCCTCCCCTTCTTCTTGCCCCTCTTCATCTCCGCATTTTTCCACCTCTCGTGGGGTCGCAGTGTGGGATCAAAGCCAGGGCGTTATCTCGAGGAACGCATGGGGGAGTTACTAATGAGAAGAAGTAAGGAGGGTAAGAGCTGCAGCATGAGGTAGGGACGGACAGGTAATGGGGGAGCGAGAAGCAGTAGGACTTTGCGGTATGAGGAAAGAGGGGGGGAAAGAAGGGGGACGGGGGAGGGAGGAATGGTGAAACAGTGAGGTCTGGAATGGGGAATGGGGATCGGACAATGGGAAGGGGACCAAGTAGGAGAAAGAGGGAAGGGGAAAAGGGAATTGGGTTGAGTGGGGAGGAGGATGGATTGGTCGTGAATTCGCATGCTACTTTGTGAACGATGTATGATGGGATGCAGGCGCTGCGTTTGAGCCAACAAATTGGTGGGAGAAATAAGGGGCTGAAGATACTGAGGAACTTGATCTCGTGGATGATGACGGCGTCACGGTTAGTGATGATGGTGACTGTGATGACGCCCACGATGACGACGATAATGGGTACCACGTCGATGAGTATTGTGGTTTGTGATGGCTCAGGATGGCGGCGCACGATTGGTGCCGAGGTCGATGGGTCATGATGAGCAGTATGATTACATAGCTGTGGGAGCGACGGTAGTCTCGATGTGGAACGTTTGTCGGAGTGGCGCAGGGCCGACTCTGTCTTGGACGCGGTTCGAACGCGAACGATCGGCGGGGGGCCAGGTGGAGACGACCTTGAGCCTTGATCCTCCTAGTCCTTGCCTCGTCCTCGTCCCCCCAGTCCAAGTCCTTGGTCCATGTCGCCCTGCTGTTTCTATTGTGAAGGCCTTACGGCCACTGCTGTCGACCCTGGAAGAAGACCCCTATGGTGAAGGTGTCAGCCGGAGTTGTTTGGGAAGGTTGGGACCAGACGCCCCGAAGAGTTCCCCTGAAGCCCCATGATGTTCCCAAGAAGCGTATGACGAGGAGTACAGCTTGGCCAAGTTACCTGCCCATGTGTTTTCGCAGAAGAGGGAGGAGGGGGATGACGAGGAGGAGGAGGAGGAGGAGGAGGAGGAGTGGGAGGAGCAGGAGGAGGAGTAGAACGAGGAGGACAACAACGAGGAGGAGGAGACCTTTTGGGAGCTTTTTCGGGGCTCTGGGAGCCTCCTCAGGTTTCATGGCGGCCTCGTGCCGCCATCTGGGACCGTCTTGAAGATATCGTGGGGCCATCTTACGTTAGAGGGGGTCATCTCCGCCGTCTTTGAGGGCATGCTGGATCGTCTTGGCAGCAATGCAGCGCCATTCCTAACCAGCTGGGAGTCGAACCTGGTCATATCTTGGAGAGTTCTGTGGGAGCCCTCTGGGGGCTCTCTTGGGGAGTTCGGGCGATTTCAGGCCCCTCTAAGATTATCGAAGACGCCTACGGCGAATCACCGCCGCCCCCTGCCTTTTTGGAAGCGCCTATGTGGCCGAACGTTGAGGCCAGACCTGCCAAGCTATCGGACCACGTGTTCCCCGAATCGGTTTGGAAAGCCTTCGGGGAACACGTGGGCATCTTGAAGGTCATCTTGGCCGTCTTGGAGGCCTCTTGGGCAAGCTTTGGGCGATCTTTGGGGCTTTTTGGGCCGTCTCGGGCCAGCTTCGAGCCAACTTCGGCCATCTTGGTGGGTTCCTGGCACGTCTGAAGCCGTCGGAAGCCGTTTGGGGGGCCTCTATGGGCCGACTTGGGGCCCGCTTGGAATGCTCCAGGGCCGTCTTGGAGGCCATCTTGGGCGTCTGGGAGGCCATCTTGGGCGTGTTGGAGGCCTCTTGGGCCCTCTTGGGGCCCTCTAGGGGCCATCTTGGAGGCCACTTGGGCCATCATGGGGCTCTCTTGGGGGCCTCTTGGGCGATCTTGGGGGCTTCTTGGGCCGTCTCGAGCCGTCGGAGAGCCGAAAAGGCGCAAATGCCAGAATCCTTCAAAAACCAAGGAAAAATCAATGATTTTGGCCTCTTCGGACTCTCCTGGAGGACCTCTTGGAGGCCTCTTGGGCCGTCTGGGAGGCCTCTGGGGGGCCTCTTGGGCCGTCTTGGGCCGTCTTGGACTCTCTTGGGCCGTTTTGGAGGCCGTCTTGGACCATCTCGGGCGGACTTGGAGGCCATCTTGGGCCATCTTCGCGATTTTTTGAGGATGTCCCGAGCGAAACGGCCGTTTTTTGGAGGATTTTTTTCCGGATTGAGGTCCTTTCGGCTTCCTCCCGGGACCCCGGCGGGACGGGCCGGAGCCCACTGGAGAGTTCTTTTAGAAAAAGAACCAAAACCAAAACCAGCTCATCCAGCACGCCGTGCACCCCTGCAAGCAGGGGGCGGCGGATCTCGTGGCCCACGGCTGATCCCGCCACCGTGCTCTGGTATGAAACGGTCATTGGCCTTCTGGGAACCCTCTTGGAGCTCTCCGGACTCTCTTGGAGGCTTCTTGGAGTTTTCTCTGGGCTCTCTGAGAGTCCTAAAACGTCTGAAGAGGGGCTTCACAGGGCACCAAGAG